GAGCTAAAGCTTCGGAGGTGAGCATGGGTGCCTGCAATTTGCTACGCATGGGTGAAAGGGCTGCACTTTCTGCAGCGCCGACGCTGTTGCAAAAGTAACTTTAGGTCAATATTCCTGTGTAAAAAGTGAGGTTATGATTTTACAAAAAATATCATTATTCATAAACTATAACATTTCCGCAAGAGGGAAAGGGTACTTCCTACCCTTCCACTGAATAGTAAGCTCCGGATATGGCCGGAGGTTAGAATTACGTATTGTGTTTGTCCACACAAATTTCCGTTGATAAAGTAGAAAATTATTAAAAAAAAAATTGGTTTATTCATATAATCTAAGCAACTTTAAAATAAAATTTACATAAACAGATATTATATTAAAACATATAAAGATTCGATTATTAGGATCTTTTGCCAATTATTCGCATAACAATTAATTTTAATCATCCAAACACTACGGTAAGTTAGATAGCGACATATCATTGAAACAACGTCAGATAAGAAAGTTGTCTCTGGTAATTTTTTTTATTCTTTGCTTTTTTTGAAAAATTCGAAGCGATAAAGAACTACACATGTTTAATGAAATATATAATAGATTTATGTAAAAGGCTATTTTAAGTCGTGAGAATACGCTTTTCCAAAGTTATTGCGGAATGATTATTGTGAAACGTCAAAGGGTATTTCTTAGATTTGGTTGAGTATAAGAAAGAAGTAAAGAGTATATTTATTACGGTGGGTAATTGAAGTGATATTATGATCAACATACATTCTTTGAAAGATACAAACTTTACTGGATATGACGAGCTGAATATAAAAACAACAAAAGTAATCGCTCCCTACATACCAGCTTCCCTTTTTACGCTTGTAATTTGATCCTCTGAGCAAGTTGTTTTTTTGTATATGATTACCGTGACAAACGAGCGCGCAGTCCACCTCATGGTAAGTAGCTGCTGTGGCCTACAGACATTTACATCTATCCTTGACTACGAATCAAAATGCGATGGAATTACTTGTTTCCAGTAAAAGGGGTCTCCAGTTCTCTACACTCACCATATGAATTGTAGCAGCATTAAGCTGCTATTTTACACTGATATTCTGTCAGAGTGTGGTCCTTCCCCAACCGAACTGACCCATTCGTGCCACAACTATACCAACAATATGCAGCAGCATGGCTGTACCACGAATAATGTAAACATTTTCACAGAACGCTTAAAAAACGTTACATGAAAAAGGTGATCATACTTATATGGGTAACTATAGACAAATAACGCTTGAGAGGGTTTTGGTAATTATAATTACAAGCTTTTATTTAAAAAATATTTTAACTTTTCATTTTGGCTTAAGGAGACCATCTTAACGAAACAAGCGTGTTTCTTTTTAGTAAAAAAATTATGTTGAAGCACTAAGTAACAAAATGTCAGTGGAATCTATATTTTTAAACATGAACAAAGCATTTGACTGTGCATTTTTAAACCACAAAATTTTAATGAAGAAGCTTGAAAAATACGATATAAACGGTAAAAATATCAAACTGGAGACTGATCTATTCATCAAATCGCAAACAACGTATGGAAATCGATAAATTACCAAACATGAAAATTTCGAGAACTTTTAGATCTGAGCTAATAAGTAATAGTTGAGGTAATTGCTTTTCTTAATTTACATAAACGACCCACTAAAGGCAGTTGATCAGGAGTACATTATTTATTATTCGCTGACAATACAACGCTAATTATAAAATGTAAAAATAAAAATGCAAATGCAATTATGGGCCACAGAATAACGTAAAAATGCCAAATCGGATGGATTATAACTTTAAAAAAATAAATGTTGATAAAACTTAAATAACTAAATTCAAAACATAGACTTAGAATATACTGACGTATTGACGACCTGACAGCCCGAAAAGGCATAACAAATTTTGATTTGTCATTGTGTGCGTTAGCTAGTGATGTACATTATACTTACAAGAATTATCGAAAAATTATTGTTAAGAAAGCGTTAAAAATAGAAATAAAATATTTAAAAACTAGCTTACTGCACGAAACTGAATAACTTTGTTCAAGACACAAACAAAACAACAACAACAAAAATTTGTTCCTTGCACACATCTACCTAATGAAATAAAATGATGTGTCTTACATAGTTTGAAAAGCACCTCCCGCCCTCCCTCAACTTACTGTTACAAATAAGGTAAAAATGGTTCTTTTTAATTAAATATTTTTTATACTACTTTTTCCTTTATACTTCTCAAGAAAACGTTTGCTGTAAATTATTGGGTTCTTCTTTTGAGCCAAACAAACACGCCCAATTAATCTTAACCATTTTTTTCTAATCATCCGGAGGGAAGTGTTTGACAAATAGCAAAATAAAACAACATTTTTATAACGCAAGCCGAGCAATTATTTTTATTCCTCTTCTTGTTGTGTGGGCAAATCAATTGATTCATTATAAATATTCAAGATAAATATCGACATTAATTTTGATATAGTTCATTCAATCCCTAAGCGTACATGTAAAATATTTTGTATAAAAATGTATTTATCGAATTCATGCAATTATCAACAACGTTGCTTTTTTCTTTTCAAAATATCAAAATTAACAAAATGATTGAAAAAGATTTTGTCTTAAACAGTGATTGCGCGGAAAAAAACGGGTACTCTCGCATTTTGTTTAGATTAGTACATAATCAGTGTCTCTCTCTCCGTCCTATCCACGCATTCCATTCCACACGCACGCTAGAATGTAACCTGACTTTCGGCCAGTAAGAAACGCGCCCACCGAGATGGAGGTGGTAGAAATGGCCGACCAATTAAAGGACGCTCGCTGCCGTGGCTCGCCCTCTTCCAAGGCATCACAACACCAGAAGCGTCGTCCTCGAGACCTCCGGCAGAAGGAACCCCGGTAAGTGCTCCTTAGACTGCCTTGAGCTGTTTTTTTACTATGTTTTCTTTCCCGCAACAGCTCAAGTAGAATCCCATCTCAGGACACTGGCTAAATAATGGGTTGGGTGAGAGCGAGTGCATCGACCAAGACGATTTCCATACATACGATTTCCATACATTAATATTAACTGAGTTATTAATATTTCGTGAGCTTCAACGTGTGCAATTCGCCGGTGAAATTACAAGATTATTATCGGGCAAGATTTGTAGGCGCTTGTTCAACTCACATTTGAGTTTCTCTCAACAGCACCCTATAGTTTTACCGCGTAGGGATCACATTTTGAATTTATTAGTTTATTACCACCATGAATTGAATTGTCACGCTGGCCCCGCATTGTTGATATCTATATTGCGTCAGAATTACTGGATTCTTTCTGCACGTAATTTAATTCGCAATCGGGTGCACAGATGTGTATCTTGCTTTCGAGTGCGACCTAGGCCGTCATTTCGGGAGATGGCGGACGTTAGGCCCGGTCCCAATACAGCCTGGTACAATCATTTTCGAGCACGGCTTCCGGCAAGTACTTGTAATACGGAATTTCCGGTCCACGAGACCGTATTTCAGAGCGAGCTCCTGGTGAAGTATTCTGGCTACTAAGTTGTGCCTGTGCAAGTACACAGAGTTAGAAAGCGCCGAACAACCGGAGATGACATGCCTAAGTGACTTACCGGGATGGCGACAAGCTCGACAGATATCGACGGTACCATCCTTTGGGATGTATCTCCGATAGTTGTTGGTGTTAATAACCTGATTCTGTATTACACAGACAAAACCCTCTGTTTTCCCGAAAAGGTCACCAAAGCGTACCCTGTGGAGGGAGGCTACAGTGTCTACAAGTCATGAAGAGCTTTATAGAACGTCATGGTAGTGCGGATTTCTCTCTCCAGGGCGTTAAGTTCAGTCTGAGTCCACCTGACTATGCCAAAGGAGAAACAAGACTATATGGGTGTGTCCTATTCACACCGGACAAAAGACTGTTAAGCACTTTGGTCAAGCGTGCATAAAACACGTCGCTAACTGACTGTTTCATACCAGCCTCATCGATATCGATGTTCTGTGACACACTCAGGTATCGGTATGTTTCAGCCTCAGAAAGGGTCTTTAAGTTGACGGGCATAGATAAATCTATGCCCTGAGAGTAAGTAACCCTTCATCTTTTAACATGAAGGAACGCACACTTATGCATTTCCAGCTCCATTCTAATAGAATAGCTAAAATCACAAGTGACGTTTTTTTTATATAGAATAGCGTGACAAATGAGCACACAGTTCACATGATGGTAAGTGGTTGCTGTGGCGCATAGACATCTACATCTATCCTCGATTACGAATCAAAATGCTGATGCGTTGTCACCCGTGAGGACTAAGATGTAATGCCTCGTTTTCAGTAAAAAGGTTCTCCGGTTCTATAAACTCACCATACGAAACACAGCAGCATAAAACTACTATTTTACGCTGGTATTCTATGAGAACATGGTCCTTCCCCGATCGAGCCGACCCTGGCTCTGCCACGTATAAATATGTTTAGTAATTCCACAAGATGGGATCGACTGTAAAGTACTGAAAGGATTCAAAGAGAGCTAGAATCAGATTGGATTGGATTATGCGGCTCTCCACAGCCATCATCCACTCACCTAGATGACAAAGGATCGTACTCCAATGCCCCATATATTGCTTGAGGAAATCTCTAACTGTACAGTAAATCTTGTACAGCTCGAGCACCCTTTTATGTATGGGGCACCGAGTCAAATGCCTTTCTGTAGTCTATCTAGGTGGCGGAAAAGATTCGACGGTTGCGTTTCACCACTTTGTCAATTACCGCGTCAATGAGTAGTTACTTGGTTCCAAGACCACCGCCCCGACATCCATTCTAAGCGCGTGACAAAACCTAATTTGAGTATAGGGAAGAGTGATTCTCACGTTCAAAACGGTTGTTAGTGTTTTGTATATGGTTGGTTGGGGCACGAACCCCTTCAGTCAGTAGTGATACAGTCCGTCGAGCCCCGGACTTTTCCAGTTCGGGACTCTATATACCACCTCAGCTACATCATCCGGTGTTATGATGACGGGGTCCGTGGACGTATACTCGCACACTGACTCGCCAAAACTTCCGGCCAAGGGCGATGATATCCGGGCTCTGACCACAGGCCGCGTCAGAATGCGACAGTGTCAGCCTGGTTCGGTGCTGGAACCGTTTCACTTACCATTGGTCGGTCCAATGATTCAAAAAGCCTCTTCTGATCACTCTGGAAGAGACGATTCTGGTTGAACCGTGTCGACCTCTCGGTATATCGCCGAATTCGCTTTCTCCAAGCAGCGATTCACTGCTTCAGATCATCTATGCGCTTCGTCAGTTTTTGCGTGCTGGCTGGAGCAAACTGACATTCGTCCCAGCAAATGCCATACTGATGATGCACACAATTCTTGGCCTGTTATTGCCTGACCTGAAGCATATCAGTCTGCCGATGAGAGCCCTAGCCCTTTCCGATACGATCCTTAACTCTTATTCTCCAGGCTGCGATAGCGCTACTTTTCCTAGTAGCGCGTCTAGCCGTGGAAAGTTTGGCGCTTATAATATATCAGACTACCAGTGCGGCGTCAAAAAGAATTGAGTCCGTGTCGCAAAGTTCCCGGCAGGCTTCTAAATAAGTTGCCAGCATTGGGTTCAGATCCTTCACGACAGGCCGATTTCACTTGTCTAGGGCTATGCGGGAAAGTCGCGGTTGATTCTCGAGAGGTGTACTGCGCGTTTGCAAATCGCCTCTATCAATGTACTCCTCATTTGATCTAATTTTAGTTCATAGGTAACTGTTCCATCATCGTTTGAATCAACCAGAATTAAGGTATTTACGGTGGCATCCATGTGTGCGGGTTGCTCTGCAACTTGTGGCGTCGCATCCTAAGCTGTGGCATTTTCATCTGATGAGGGAACACTCTCACGTCGTAGCCGTTCGAGTTTGGCGCCATCAAATATATTTGAGCGCAAGATGTACCGAACTCTGTTCTTTTGCTCTGCGACGGTTATAGATGACTTCAGCTTAGCAAAAAAGCAAAAAAAAAGCTTAGCAAAAGGACGATGCATCCAAGCCCGATACGCAAAATCTCTAACTTCTCCCCCTTTCCCCCTAAAATACGCCTGCAATGCGTTGGTGTTCATTTTGGTTGTCCATCGCATGCGGCGTATTCTACCAGTGGTGGGTGCCAATTGCTGGTCCTGCGAAGACCTTGCCGACACCAAGCAAGCTGGTGGGGATGATGGATGCGAGGGGTTACTGGGTGGTCGAGCAGCACCACACGTTTGGCTGGCGGTTCGCATGCTCCAGGCAGCCTCCCTTTGCGCGTTCTATTATCTCCCATGGCACCCATTAAAACATTTTTATGGGTGCCATTTAACGGGAGACGCCCAGACCCGGTGCCATTTCATGGTGATGCAATGTTTACAAACGGGCGTTTGCGTCTTCAATTTTTGCCGAGGCACGGCACTAACATCTCTTGGCAAGGTGCTGACTGACTGCGCTGACGTAGCAGTTTTGTCACATAGCCGTTACGTCAGCAAACGATGGGATCGTAACTTCCCTACGCCTTTTATTATTATTATTGCGGGGAAAAAATTCATCTCCATAAATATATAATTGTGAATGAGAATGATAAATATACATAAATATCAATAAAATAAAATAAATACAAAAAAATACACAAATAAAAAAAATCCCAACCAGACCTCGGCAGGGGAGACCAGACGGCTGAGGGTTAGGGGGAAGGGAAAGAAACCGGCGGACAATGCGGGTGGTATCGGGGAGCACCGCCTTCTGCACATGAGCCCGGAGCGGTCAGTCACGGAGTTCAAGTCGCCTCAGATGACCCCAAAGGGTCACCGGGATTAGTCCATTCGCAGAGACGACTACAGGAATAATTTCGGTCGGCTGAACACCCCACATTTCGGTTACCTCGTGAGCCAGATCCCGATATTTTGTTTGCCTATCTGTATCGGTTTTCACGAGGTTCTCGTCATACGGAATGGTAATTTCGACCAAAAATATGATTGACTGTGCCCGGTCCATCAGCACAATATCAGGCTTATTCGCAAGAATAGTCCTATCTGTGATGTGTGTGATGTTGAAACTATCGGGTGAGCAGGGTGTGACACACTACAAACACCTTCAGCCACTAATGATGCAGCCCGTCAAGTCCCAGACTTTTCCAGTTCGGAGCCCTCCGGACTGCCTCAGCCACGTCTTCCGGCGTTATGGTGATGCGGTCCATAGGCGTAACACTTGCACCCTGGCTCGCCACAACTTCCATCTAAGGGCTCTCGCTTTGGTTTACGGGCTCTGACCACAGGCCACGCCAGAATGCGTCAGTGTTGGCCTGATCCGCTTCTGGGCCCGCTCCATATACCCCTGGTCACTCCAATGATTTATAGAGCCTCTTCTGATCACTCTGAAAGAGACGATTCTGGTTGAACCGCCTTGACCTATCTGGAAATCGTCGAATCCGCTTCCCCCAAGGAGAATATTTTTGCTTTAGGTCATCTATGCGCTCCATTAGTTTCTGCGTGATATCCGGCTGGTACAAACTGATATTTTTCCCAGCAAACGCCATTCTACCGGTGCGCACAACCCTCGATCTATTATTACCTGACCTTAAGCTTGTCAGTCTGCCAATAAGGGCCCTTGCCTTTGCGAAACGGTCTCCAATTCTTTTTCTCCAGGATGTGATGGCGCTACTTTGCTTAGTAGCGCGCCCAGTGGCGCCAATAATAGGGCAAACTGTCACTGCGGCGCCAAAAAGAATTGAGTCCGTCTCACAAAGGTCCTGGCTAGCTACAAAATATGTCACCAGCATTGAGTTAAGAGCCCTAACGAGAGCTCGATTTCGCTTGCTTAGGGGTATCCGGGGAAGTCGCGGTCGATTTTCGAGAGGCATGCTGCGCGTTTCTAAAATCGCCTCTTCCAATATGCTCCTCATTTACTCTAGTTTGTAGGAAACCATTTCATCATCGTCCGTTATTGATATTATGTTATGATATTATGTGTTATATATGTTATGTTATTGTTATTATGGTATTATCATTATTCGATTAACATAATATTATTTCATGGACATCTTATCTTTATAATGATACTTAAAAAATTAAGAATTAATTATTGTGCGATTACTACGCCGATACAGGTAAGACATGTAAATTATCAAGTTATTTCTATATTCCGAGGGTTTAGTGGTAAAACAAGTTGTATATTAGTGTTGGCGACGCGAGATAACGTATCTTGAATCATTGTTTCTTAAGATTAATATCAAAATTATATTAACTGTATAGGATACTAATTTCTGAGAAATATAGATAATTTCTGAGAAATATAGAGTATTTATTGTTAAAGGATCACTCTGACGGGCTTACTACCGGAAGATCCAAAAATGGTTCCACACAGTCGCCCAGAGTTATCATTCAGGAAGACGGGTTGGCCACCATAAGAGCAAAGAGAAGGCAGGCAGCCCCTTACCCACCTGCAATAACACCAACACCAATATAAACGGTGGCACTTGTTGCAATAATTGCAGCTAAAGCAACCACCGCGGCGACTCTTCAGCCCCCCCCGCTAATGATGCCACTGAGCGGCAATCCTCCAAGAAGAGGAAGCGGGGGAGGAAGAAGAAGAAGGTGAGCCTCCTCTTCAGGCAGCAACCTCTACACCAACCGAAGAGTTAACGATAGCCCCACAGGCGCAAGTTACTGCAGAACAGCATGCAACAAAAATGGGTAGAGCACCAGAAAGGGCTCTATCGGAAAATAGAGCCCGCTCTAAATACAGAACGTGCTCTATCCAGAGACCATGATCAGACTACCACATCCCCAGACCAGTAGCAACAACAACTAGAACGCCATCAACCGGCTTCGAAACAGCAAACACCACACTCGTACAACGCCTAGTTGGCATTGTGATCGAGGTCGGCATTCAGGTCCCGACTGACATAAGAGCCGGGTCTGATCCCATCATCGCCGTGATGAAGGCGTTTGCACACCTGCTGGCTCAGCATTACTACTAGATATTAACCTCCTCTACTGGAACCCTGACGGAATCCAGCATAAGTTGCATGAACTCCGCACAGTCGCCCAACAACAGAACATCCAGGTCATCTTGTTGGGAGAGACTAAACTCAATCCATCTACGTATCTAAAGCTGCCCAAATTTCACATCTATAGGCGGGATGAAGTCACTGACAGCGGTTCTAGTGAGGAGAGACATCGTCCATTAGGAACTAGACCTGCCAGACTACCAATTGATGCGCTCTATCGACATGAAAATGGAGGCAGCGGGCGAGAAACTAAGGATATTTGCAGCATACCGCCCGCCAGGGACTTCATTTTACCTCAGACGTCCTAACGGTAATTGAAGGCACAGCGCCCACTATCATCGCCGGAGACCTAAATGCCAAACACCCGCCGTGGGGATCTAGATTGATCAACCCGCCGGGTCACGCCATTTATATGAAGACGCGGAGAGAAACTACTATGACGTTTTAGGTCTCGAAGGGCCTACACATGATCCGACTCCCAGTATTTAGACACTATACCGGACAAGATAGACTCGCTAGAGGAATTAGCGCCATTTCGACTCACCTCACATCAGCGATCGAAGAATGCTCCCGTAAGGTTCGTGTGTCGAGTGATCAATACACAAAGTCCGGCGAATGTTCGAAAACTGATTAGAGCAAAGAATTCCGCGCTTAAAACTTACGACCGCTGCCGCACCGAAGGTAGTAGCCGAATTTAGAAATGATAGCTAGGACAACCTCTTAGAAGAAATTTAACCATCTCAAGACGATTTCTGGAAAATAACGAGAGCTCTTGAAGCAGATAAATCTTCACCAATGCCGCCTCTCGTGAGGATAGACCACCCTGACCTCGCCTTAGACGATCTCAAAAAAGCCGAATGCCTAGCCGACAGTCTAGAGTACCAGTGCACCCTATCCACTGTACCAATAGGTCCCGCTCACCTACTAGGGGTAGAAACGGAAGTAGAACGTAGGTCTGCGCTGCCACCACAGGGCGAACGATCGATCCTGTGACAGTAGATGAAGTCACAGAAACCATTAAAAGCCTTAAGAATAGATCAGCACCTGGGCCAGACGGCATTAGCAACAAGGTGATCAAATCCCTTTCGGCGCCACTTATTTACCTCCTTGTAGGAATATTCAACACTCTTCTTACGAACTGCTCCTTCCCAAACATCTGGATAGAAGCAGACGTAATAGGGATCCCAAAGCCGG